GGCAGGTGAGGAGGGGGGAAACAGAAGCAGTGCAGGCGGGCGGATCGCCGGGCACGCTTGTCATTTGCAGTCGGTAGCAAGGGTAGGTGTGAGAGAGACGGAAATACAGTTGAGAGGGAGCGGAGAGAGGCAGGGGTTCACCCATGAGCTACTGAAGTACAGACCTGAGTTCAAACCCACTGAAATCCACAAGAAGAAAGAGAGAGAAAAACAAAGATGTTGTTGCAGCACACAGATCGACTCTGACAAGAGGTACAACATTTACTGAAACGAAAGAGCAAAAGAGAAACTAAACGAAGAGCTGCCTGCCCCCACACACACACAAAAAAAACAAAAAACAAAGAGGTAGAGCTCAATTTTTCAAGGATGTCTACGTTGGAAGGAAACAACGAAATCCACGAACGGCAGGGAAGGGCTTGTCGCGTTCGTGATGCCCGAGACCTGCAAATCCCCAGAGCAAACCAGACACCTCCCTCCGCAACTGCCATTGGACAATCGAACGAAAGAATCCTCACCTGTAGTGCAGTGGAAACAGGCATTTCTTCTTTGGCCCACAGACCCGCCAATGTCGTAGTCAGTCTGTGGAATCAGGCATAGAGTTCAAGTCAAACTGAGGGATAGTCTTTTGTTTACGACTGCTGTGTGTTTCCCTTCCTCTCTTTCCTCCGTCCCGGACAGCGTCTTCACTGCTTGCATCACTTAAGTCTATATAGTCTGTCTTATTTTGTTCCTCTTCCACCTCTTCCGTCTGTGTTCCTTTCTCTTCGTCCGTCTGTGTCCCTTTCTCTTCGTGTGAATCGTCGCTTATGACATAGCATTCTGGTTTGCAGTTGGATCTACTTTGTTTCTCCTCCTCCTCCTCCTCCTCCTCCTCCTCCTCCTCCTCTTCCTCTCCAGACTCATATTTGATCTCCACAGATTGCCTGTGTAAAGCATCGCTGCACTCTCTACTTCTTTCCTCGCCCTCCCCCCCCTTCTCTTCTCCAGACTCATTTTTCCTCTCCATACATTGTGTCTTCAACGTATCTCTGAGCTCTCTCCATCTGGAGACTCTACTCTTGCGTAAATCTGGACTCTGCGTCTTCGTGGTGTGGTTACACGCTGCCTCATCTCCACGCCCTCCCTCCACATCCGCCACATCCAAATCACTCAAAGCACTACAACATATTCCATCTGTTTTCTCGTGGCTCTCGGAGTTGTTTGCACTGTGTCCCTGAAATGTATCCGGCATGCTTGCACCTTCCCCACTGCTGCTTTCTCCGCTAAACTTTCCCTCCTCTCCCCTACCCTCTGTTACAAATCTCCTCCCTCCCTCCCCATCTTCCTCTCCAGTAGATCCCCCCCCGTCCACACTCGTCTCTCTGACAGTGCTCCTCCCCTCTTCAGCCTGTCTGCTCATTTCGTTGCTTCTGTCTCTTGCAGCCCCCCCACTGCTTCTCTCTCCGCTAGACTTTCCCCCATCTCCCCTACTCTCTGTGATAAATCTCCTTCCTTCCTCCCCATCTTCCTCTCCAAAAGATCTCCTCTCTTCCCCACTTGTCTCTCTGCTCCTCCCCTCTTTCCCACTTGTCTCTCTGACAGTGCTCCTCCCCTCTTCCAAACTAGTTGCTCCGCCAGGCATCCCATCTCCTCCGCGTTCATCTCTGTCAGGCCTTGCACTTTCTTCCTCGCAGCTCTTTCCCGGACCACGTTCTTCGCTACTCCTCTCTCTCCTCCCCTCTTCCAAACTAGTCGCTCTTCCAGATATCCCATCTCCTTCATGTTCATCTCTGTCATCGCAGCTCTTTCCCGACCTCCTTTCTTCGCTACTCTCTCTCCCACACCTCCGTTCTTTTGGCTTTCTCTCACTGCCAGACCTCCATTCTCCCCCAATGTCACATTCATCAGACATTACCTCTTTCTTAACTCTTCCCTTTGAACCCCGTTCTTCGCTATTCTCTCTCCCTGATCTCGGTTCTTTCGACTTTCTCTCACTGCCAGACCTCCTCTCTCCCCCAATGTCATGTTCATCAGACATTACCTCTTTCTTAACCTCTTCCTTTGCATGCCTCTCTTCCCTCCTACTTCTGTACCTGGAAGGCCTTCCTTCTCCCCTATTTTCCTTTTCAACAAATTTCTCTCTGACAGACCTGCAATCTCCCCCAATGTCATGTTCATCAGACATGACCTCTTTCTTAACTCTGTCCTTTGCATGCCTCCCTTCCCTCCTAATTCTGTCCCTGGAAGGCCTTCGTTCTCCCCTATTTTCCTTTCCAACAGATTTCTCTCTGACAGACCTGGAATCTCCTCCAATGCCATCTCCATCAGCCGCTACCTCTTTTTCCATTGTGTTCTTTGCAGGCCGCCCTTCGTTCCCACTTCTCTCCCCGCAAGATCTTCCTTTTTCCCTGTTTTCCTCTCCAATACATCTCCTTCCTTCCCTACTTCTCTCTCTGATAGTGCTCCTCCCCTCTTCCACACTCGTTGCTATCCCGGACCTCCCATCCCCTCCACTTCCACCTCTGTCAGACCTTAACATTTCTTCGTCGCGGCTCTTTCCCAACGTCCATTCTCCGTTGCCGCTCTCTCTCCCAGACCTGCATTCGTTCAACTTCCTACCACCACTGCCAGACCTCCAACCTCCTCCGACGCCATCTTCATCAGAGTTCACCTCTTTTTTAATTCTGTCCTTTGCAGGCCTCTCTTCGTTCCTACCTCTCTCCCAGCAAGATTCCCTAGCTTCCTCCCTAACAGATTGTCTTTCTTCCTCTCTTGTCTCTCTGACAGATCTCCTCCCGGCTCCCAAACTTGTTTCTCTCCGAGACCTACCTCCTCCACTTCCATCTCCGTCAGGCCTAGCCCTTTCTTCGTCGTGGCTCTTTACCGGCCTCCATCCTTCGTTACTCCTCTCTCTCTCAGACCTTGATTCTTTCAATTTCCTCTCACCGCCAGACCTCCGATCGTCTCCCAGTTCATCCATGTCCGACATTAACCCCCCCCATGTTCTCACGTTTGCAGATTCACCACAACTCTTCCTGTGATATAGTGCTTCCTCCCTGGAATACCTTCCTTCCTCCCTGCAATGTCTTCCTGTTTCCCTGCCATATCTTTCTTCCTCCATGACTCTCTTTCTAAGAGACTCCCTCCCCTCCTCTGGACTTCTAGCTTTTCGAGACCTCCCGTCTTCCCCACTTCCATCTCTGTCGGAGCTCTGTCCCAACCTCCATCCTTCAATCCCATCTCTCCAAGACCTCCCTTCTTTATACTTTCTCGCCCTTTCACACCTCCAATCTTCCCCAATTTCATCTCTCTGATGCATCACCTCTTCTTTCACTCTGTCCTTTTCAGGCCACACATCATTGCTACTCTCCCTGCGACGTCTCCCTCCACTTCCACTCCTCTCGTTGCTCCTCCCTCTGGAAGAAAGCTTCCTTTCACCGGATTCACAGCTTCTGCTCCGCTTGCGACTATCCCTCTCCGTCCGATCGTGGACTCGCGATTTGGTACTCAGGGATTCACGGGCTTTCTGACCCCATCGGCCTTCTTCAAGCCCTCTAGGTGGAGACGTAGGTCTATCCACCATCATCCCTGAGTCCCTGAGCCTTTCTTCTCCTGCCTGATCCCAGCCTCTGTCTGTAGCTCGTCCAAATGCCCTCAGTTCCCCATGATCTCCCTTTCGTAATCTGTCCTCCCCTCCCCTCACAGAACACGGAGTCAGGTTCTGCCTGTTGCTTTCTCTACCATCCAGCCCTGTCATGTGCAACCCCCTGCCTCTTTGCTCATTCTCAACTGCATTCCCTTCTCTATAACAGTTAGCCTCTCTATCTACTGGGAACGAGAAATATCCCTGGTGATCTGCCCCTTGTAATCTGTCCTCCTCTACCCTCACAGAACATGGATTCAGGTTTTGCCTGCTGCTTTCTCTAGAATCTCTACCACCCAGCCCTGTTATATGCAACCCCCTGCCTCTTTGCTCCCTCTCAACTGCATTGTCGTCTCTATAACAGTTGGCCTCTCTATCAGCTGTGAACGACAAACGTCCCCGGTGATCTGCCCCCCGTGCTCCCTGCCCATCCCACCTTCTCTCCTGCCAAACGACTACCCCGTCTCTTGCCTTACCCTGATACGCTCCATGAACTCCTGCTTGTAATCTGCCCTCCTCTTCCCTAAGAGGATACTCGGCTGTTTTCTGGCTGTTTCTTTCCCTACGGTTCAGCCCTGTCCCCGGTAAATCCCAGCCCTGAAATCCTGCCTCTCTTCGCTCCCTCTCAACTGTGTTTCCTTCTCTCTCACACCTGCCCTCGCTACCTACTGCAAACGGCCAGAGTGCCCCGCGATCTCCACACTGACCTACTTCTCCTTCCCCCCTCCTCGCCTGCCAACCCCCCCCCACATCTCTTACCATACCCTCCTCTGCTTCTGCCAAATCACTAAATCGTGCAGGACTACCAGGGGATAAACCAAAGCCTGCTGGCCTCGTCCCATGCGTCCCTACGCCTCCAGATGGCATTCCTGAGAGCGGGAAGCCTGAATGAGACAAACCTTGAGCTGGCAAACCAGGGGATCTCAAATTTGGGGATGACAACCCTGGTCTAAAGGGGGGTAAACCAAAACCTGATGGTCCAGGCCCATATGTTCCTACTTCACCTGGTCGGAACTGTTCAATGTTATAGGACATCCCTTGAGTAAAGGGTCGACAGTCTGGTCCTGGAGGGGGGCCAGACACTTGAAACCTGGGAATAAAACCTGGGTTCTCTGAAAGAGAACGTGTGGGTGGGTGCCGAAAACCAGATGGTGAGAAACCTTCCGACGGCAATCCTGACATTGGGAATCCTGGATGCGACAAGCCTGACGGCAGCAAATCTTGGGGTGGCAAAGCATGGGGCGGCAACCCTTGGGGCCGCAAACCTTGGACCATCAAACCTTGCGGGGCCAAACCATGGGGCGGCAAAGCTTCGAGCGGCAAAGCTTCGGGGGGCAAACCTTGGGGGGGCAAACGCTGGGGGAGCAAACCTTGGAAACCTTGGGGGGGCAAGCCAGTGGATGCTAAACCGGGTGATGGCAAATCTCGGGGGGGCAAACCCTGGGGGAGCAAACCTTGGGGGGGCAAACCTTGGGGGGGCAAGCCAGTGGATGCTAAACCGGGTGGCAAATCTCGGGAAGGCAAACCTGGACTAGCACGGGGTGCACCAAGACCTGATGGCCCTGGCCCATGTGTCCCCATGCCCCCCACATGGAGCTGTTGGGGGCTGTAAGACGGTCCTTGAGAAAGCAGTGGACAGCCTGGTCCTGCAGATGCACAAGCCACTTGAGCCCCAGGGGTAAAACCGGGGCTCTGTTGCAGAAGACTTGGAGGTGGATGCTGAAAAGCAGGTGGTGCGCAGCTGTCCGATGGAAACACTGAGACCGAGAAGTCCGGATGAGATGAACGTGAGGGGGGCATACCGGGGGACGGTAAACCAGAGGTTGCTAAATGAGGGGATGGCAAACCTGAAGGGGGAAAACCTGGGGGGGGTAGAGTTTGTGGTGAAAAACCTGGGGGTCCGGAAACCAGAGGCTGTGAACCTGGGGTAGTAGACCCAAATGCTGGACGCGGCGTGTCACTTCTGACCGGTGAGTGTGTTTGTCCTGATACTTGCCCCAACCTACTTCGCAACTCCCATGTCTCCTGCACCGCGACCCTCGGCAACATGTTCATCCCCCCATCTCCACCTTTAATGCTCACAGCACTTTCCACTACTTCAACTGGTGCTGGGGTCCTGGCTGTGCGTGCTGCTGCCTGGTCTGATGTGCATGGGTACTCCTTGGATGCTTCGCACCTTCGATCATCTCTAGTGCTGACTGATTTTCCCACCAGTGAGGTTTGTGTCCTTACTGTGGTGGCAGTCCCTAGCCCATTTGATTGGAGTGGATGCCGCTTGCCTCCATCAAAGGTGCCATTTGAGCACTTACTCCGAGGAGCAGAACTGGACATAACTTCCCTGTTGTAACAGAGGAATGGTACATATGACTTATGCCAACACAGGAACAGCATCCTCTCATGGAAAACCAGCATTTTCGGGGTGAGGATGGCAGACCCAAGCACCAACTCTCGTGTTAAGCAACTGTCGAACAGCACATGTGCACAAGACATATCCTTTGCGAAAAACAACTGATGATCCCTCCCTGTCAATTTGCTGGGACTGATGCCCGTCATCATGTCCAACCAGCATGATAGATCAACCTCCAGATCGTCCCTTACAAGTGGGAGGTTTCCAATGTATAAGGTTCTGTCCGCATCAAGTGTATCTTCTTCTCCCTCCGGAACACCCTGCATCTCAAAGGGCCAATTTCCTCTTAGGCTGACAGCCAGCTCCACATCTGCCACCTGGATAAGAAAGATGCAGCATCACATCCAATGCGACACCACAACCATCAGCAATGAGGAGGAGGAGGAGGAGGAGCCAGATACTTTGCTTTCCTCATTGTGGTTGACCGAGGGTCCACAGGAGACTACCATTGGTGAAGAAGAAGAAGAAGAAGAAGAAGAAGAAGAGGAAGAAGAGGAAGAAGAGGAAGAAGGAAGAAGAGGAAGAAGAGGAAGAAGAAGAAGAAGAAGAAGAAGAAGAAGAACTGCAACTCGATATATCAGCTGAATGATAATAGTCATTTTCCAGAGTCCCACAATAGTCATCTCCCGAAATAGTAACCAAGTCTCCGATCTCTCACTCTCAATAGAACAGCAGAGAGGAGGTGGATATGGCAG